TCTCAAAACCTGAAGAGCACAGCATTGTGGGGCACAGTGTTGTCCGTGGAGAGATTGCTGTGATTGCCGGCAGGGAGCCGCGGGCGAAAACCCTGACCGGCGCGCCCGGGTGTCATGACTCTCTTGTTGCCATGTTCCGGAAAATGGCAGCCACTTTCGCATTTTCTATTGTTAGTATGTATGTTTTTTACAAACAAACATAGATAGAAACATACCAGGCAGTAGATAAAAATTAGAATTTACTACTTTACATTTTACTCAATTATTATTGTTACATTGTCACAGTGTGATAAGATGGGCGTACCACTACGGGCACTAGCTGCAGGTCGATGTTGCGAGCTCGATGGTCGCTTCCTAGATCCGCTATCGCGCGCGGAGTAAACCTGCAATGTCCTCAGTTGCAGAGAGCAACAGAGACATAGTATCATTCTAGAACTGTCTGGCGAGCAGTGGTAACATCGAGTCAAAGTCGCAGGAAGAGCTAACAAGAGGGCCAATTGGAAATTTATTGTTTTCACATAACGCTGGAAGCTCGATGGTGCACGCCGGCGGTCTATTCGTTGGTGGCAAATTCTCAGCGCTAATTTCGTTCAGCAACATCCAGAGGAACGCTACGAATACATGGGCTGGGAGTTCGAGGTGCAGCAGGACGAACTATTTGACTGCTTAGCGGAATGCCGGAAAGAAGTAAGTGTGCAGTGTAACGCCGAACGTCATGTGAATTGAATATTTAGTCATGCAGCCGGTCAGCAACTGCCAGTGCAAAGCTTTGTTTCCGGGTTGCTATGCAATATTTGAGTGTAAGATTCTGTGCATTGACTGACATTCACGATTACCATAAAATCCCGCCAGAGCACCCCAACCTCTGCGACCCTTCTAGTACTGTCGTGGACATGGAAATCCAGTTGATTGACGCGGGGCCGGCGCCCTCAGCGCGTACAGAACGCTGCGTGCAGTGCACAAGTTGATCAGATGCGACCAGCGCGCTGCAGCGCATAACTGCATGTGTGTACCGCTTATCCACGGCTGCATGGCCAGCGCCCTAGGGCTGCTAGACGTGCGGCGACCGGATTTCCATGTCCACGACAGTAGGTTCAGGTGTGTGTGTGGGGGGGGGGGGGCAGGGGGGCGAATTTTTCTTGCTACACTCAGTACGTTGTGAACAGGTACTCATCCTACGAGAACTGTGCGTGCGTCTCGTACACCGACCAAAGGTCAAGAGCAGAGAGTCGTACAAACCGGTCGAAACCTAGGGTTTGTGCGATCCCTGGTCAAGAGGGTGTGAACTGTTGCGTGTATTTCCAACCGGGTCGAGCACGTGTATGCAGTGCGGTACGGCATGACACTTCACCGAGTCATACGATTATGCAATCATTATCACTTCCCTGACAAGAAGTCGGGGAGGGGCGCATGGAAGAGATGGGGCGCTCTGGCAGCGGGATTTTATGCTACTTGTAAAGTTTTACTTGTAAGTGGAGGCAATGACGTCATCGGAAACACTATGTAAGTGGAGGCAATGACGTCATCGGGAACACTATGTAAGTGGAGGCAATGACGTCATCGGGAACACTATGTAAGTGGAGGCAATGACGTCATCGGGAACACTATGTAAGTGGAGGCAATGACGTCATCGGGAACACTATGGCAAGTTACTGCTCCACAACTAAGCCCGAGGTCCATAGTGGCATAGGCCTCAGGTCTGAGCTGTCAGTCGTACATGTACAGCACTGCTCAATAAATGCAGATGAAGCGAGTGAATGCCACACTGGGCGCTGTGCAGCCCTAGACCTGCAAACACTGGCATGGTGAACTGGTGCAGAGCGCAAAAACTTGATTTATGTGGTCGTAGTTCACCGATCATCACTGTACTATTAAAATGCTATTCTTGCACACGCTTCCATGACATTATCGTTGGCCTACTCAATGCTTTGCGATACATGCTTTTCGACCTTCCTCACCGCATGGAAATGAATCAGAGCAGCACGGTGCATTTACAGGTAATCAGCGTAGCGCGGTGCATTTAGCGGTGATCAGAGTAGCGCGGTGCATTTAGCGGTGATCAGAGTAGTGCGGTGCATTTAGCCGTGATCAGAGCAGCGTGGTGCATTTCAGTGGTGATCAGAGTAGTGCGGTGCATTTAGCGGCGATCAGCAGAATGCTGAATCAGAGCACCACGTTACATGTAGTTTAAATTTCAATCATATCAGGATTGGTCAAACGGAGCGCAAAGGTGTGATTTGGTTACTGAGCCAGTGGAAATACTGTAAAATACCGCCAGAGCGCCCCTACCTCCACCACCCTTTGAGTAGGTCCAGGTGGGGAGGGACGGATAGGCGAGTCCTACTTTGCTGCATTCAGTACTACATGAAAAAGTGCTCACCCTACTCAAACTGTCCGTGCATCTTGACACCGACCAAAGGTCAAGAGCCAGGAGTCTTACAGACCCATCAATACTAAGGGTTTGTGCGATCCCTGGTCAAGAGGGTGGGCACTGTTGCATACATTTCCAACCAGGTCGAGCACGCGTCTGCAGTACAGTATAGCATCACAGAGTCATACAAGGATACAATCAATCACTTCCCAGACAAGAAGTCAGGGAGGGGCGCACGGGAGAGACGGGGCGCTCTGGTGGATTTTACGGTAGTAATTTTTGATAGGTGGTCCGGCCATACGATAGTTGCTCATATACTCTCTGTATGATACAACAATTGTGTTATGTCCACCACTTGTTGTATGACACGACAGGTACACATCATTAGTACTGAGTCAACTCTAAATAATCACCTAGGTAAACCAAAATGTAGTGCAACCATGTTATCCTGACCAACCAGGCTAGTTGCAGAGCCAGTCTTGATTGTCTCAAACCAAGTACTAGATAGTTTGCCTTACCTACAAATCTATTTCATTCCTTGGTGCTGACCGCTTTAATGCGCTTCCCTAATCCCTTCGCACAAATCATATTCCCAATTCATTTTTCGTCAGGAACTTAACAAATTCATTCATCTTGGGCACCCTGTAAGAAGACCTTAGGGTCTGTTGGGATTGCCCAAGTAAAATAATAGAATTATAATACAATGCAAATACCTAGGCTGAACACGGTGCAAGTATGAGTCAATGTATTGTATAGATACTTCCTCCGCGTCATTAAAATTGTCGCTTCGCACATCGCAATATTTGAGACTTGGCTCGTCTTAGTCAGACTGTCGGAATCGCTGTTTTCTGTGTTCGAACACTGGTGCGACCCTTCCTGCGCAATGTCTACTTGTCACTGAAGCCGTGGTGGTCTTGGACTTTGCCGGAGCGCTCTTCCGCACCAAGCAAATTGATCGCGCTCCGCACTATTCCGCCCCAGAGCGCATTTCGTTTTCTGGAGTTCGTATCGTTCGCGTGGGTATTTATCAAGACTGCAAGCTCAGGTATAAGAATCCTGGTATCTCTCCTGAACACGAAACGCTGAAGTTGACGATGGCAAGAACAAAGCGGTCTCAAATTCCTAAAATGCGCTACTTGTGGCGCATTTTGCTGCGAAGGAAACAGGTCTGAAAACTCCAACAAAATCGGCGAAGCGCTTGCCAAGGAAAGAAGGTGCGAAACTGCTTACCCTATCCCACTGGAAGGTCGTTACAGTGTACATGAAAAATGCTAGCTTGCCTTGATCGCCTGCCACCTGGAGGCATGGGGATATGGATCGCTTGAAAACGAAGTTTCTTGACCTGAATTTGACCACGCGTCTTGTTCAGCGTATTGTTGAGTGCTGAAGGGTCTGTCTCAAACTCTGATGAAGACGCGACCTTAGCTGCAAGTGCAGAAAAGCAGGGGGGTGGGGGGGGGGGGAGGGGCACAAACTAAAGCTTGGTCCGTCGACAATGCTCTTCCTCAATTTCTAGCTGATTTCTTTGCCCTTCGAGTGGACAAAATAAATTCGAAAAATCGCTCTGGGAAGCGACAATTTTAATGACGCGGAGAAGTATAATTATGCAGCCAGAAAAATTTGGGGAATGCTGAGAATTAATTTTGGAGCAACTCAGAGTGATGAGAATGTGTCATGTTCCTTGCATTTGGCTAGGGGGGGTTGTGTTGTGATCTGATATATGTGTAGAAATGATCTAGGGCATGTTACTTAGATTTTTGGTTTGCTATTAGGACGCTTGCAATCGTAGGCAGTGCCTCAGGAAATTTGACCCTGCTGTAACTGGCTTGAGTTTCAAGTCCGGATGTAGAGGCAAAAAGCCCCAAACTTGGGGTAGGTTATTTTCAGGGTTCATCAGCCGTGGGCAGGTCGTTTATGTCCATGTTGCCGCTGTGAATAGTCGGAAAGGTGAGAAAAGGTGAAATTTGGACCATTTGTGCGGACCTGTTCTCTTCAATGTATCTGTGGGTAAATGGGCCCAGCATCAATGTGGATGCAGGAATTGTTTAAATATTTGGTTTGCTAGTAGGCCGCTTGCACTCGTAGGCGGTGCCCGAGGATTTTTGAGCCTGCTATAACTGACTTGAGTTCCAAGTCCGGATGCACGGGCAAAAGCCCCAAACTTGGGGATAGGTTATTTTCAGGGTTCAGCAGCCCTGGGCAGGTCGTTTATGACAATGTCTGGCATTTCTGTTCTGCACTACCTTTTGTGTGCCTATCGCAGAAATTCAGGGTGGTCACTGTCCATGTTGCAGCTGTGAGTAGTCGGAAAGGTGAGAAATGGGTGAATTTTTTGACCATTTGTGCGCATCTGTTCTCTTCAATGTACTTGTGGGTAAATGGGCCCAGCTATGAAGTGAGTGCAGGAATTGCTTAGATTTTTTGTTTCCTAGTAGGCCGCTTGCACTCGAAGGCAGTGCCCCAGGAAATTTGACCCTGCTGTAACTGGCTTGAGTTCCAAGTCCGGATGCACGGTAAAAGCCCCAAACTTGGATATAGGTTATTGTCAGGGTTCAGCAGCCCTGGGCAGGTCGTTTATGACAATGTGTGTCATTTCTGTTGTGCACTACCCTTTGTGTGCCTATCGCAGGAATTCAGGGTGGTCGCTGTCCATGTTGCAGCTGTGAATAGTCGGAAAGGTGAGAAATGGGTGAATTTTTGACCATTTGTGCGCATCTGTTCTCTTCAATGTACCTGTTGGTAAACGGGCCCAGCTTCAAAGTGGGTGCAGGAATTGCTTGGATTATTTGTTTGCAAGTAGGCCGCTTGCACTCGTAGGCAGTGCCCGAGGAGATTTGACCCTGCTGTAACTGGCTTGAGTTCCAAGTCCGGATGCACGGCCAAAAGCCCCAAACTTGGATGTAGGTTATTGTCAGAGTTCAGCAGCCCTGGGCAGGTCGTTTATGACAATGTGTGTCATTTCTGTTGTGCACTACCCTTTGTGTGCCTATCGCAGGAATTCACGGTGGTCGCTGTCCATGTTGCAGCTGTGAATATTCGGAAAGGTGAGAAATGGTGAATGTTTGACCATTTGTGCGCATCTGTTCTCTTCAATGCACCTGTGGGTAAATGGGCCCAGCAGCAATGTAGATGTAGAAATTGCTTAGATTTTCGGTTTGCTAGTAGGCCGCTTGCACTCGTAGGGAGCGCCCGAGGAGATTTGACCCTGCTGTAAATGGCTTGAGTTCCAAGTCCGGATGCACGGGCAAAAAGCCCCAAACTTGGTGGAGGTTATTTTCAGGGTTCAGCAGCCCTGGGCAGGTCGTTTATGACAATGTGTGTCATTTCTGTTGTGCACTACCCTTTGTGTGCCTATCGCAGGAACTCAGGGTGGTCGCTGTCCATATTGCAGCTGTGAATAGTCGGAAAGGTGAGAAATGGTGAATTTTTGACCATGTGTGCGCATCTGTTCTCTTCAATGTACCTGTGGGTAAATGGGCCCAGCTGCAAAGTGGGTGCAGGAATTGCTTAGATTTTTGGTTTGCTAGTAGGCCGGTTGCACTCGTAGGCAGTGCCCCAGGAAATTTTAGCCTGCTATAACTGGCTAGAGTTCCAAGTCCGGATGCACGGGCAAAAAGCCTCAAACTTGGATATAGGTTGTCTTCAGGGCTCAGCAGCCCTGGGCAGGTCGTTTATGACAATGTGTGTCATTTCTGTTGTGCACTACCATTTGTGTGCCAAATGCAGGAATTCATGGTGGTCACTGTCCATGTTGCAGCTGTGAATAGTCGGAAAGGTGAGAAATGGGTGAATTTTTGACCATTTGTGTGCATCTGTTCAGTCTTCAATGCACCTGTCGGTGAATGGGCCCAGCAGCAATGTGGATGCAGAAATTGCTTCGATTTTTGGTTTGCTAGTAGGCCGCTTGCACTCGTAGGCAGTGCCCCAGGAAATTAGAGTCTGCTGTAACTGGCTAGAGTTCCAAGTCCGGATGCACGGGCAAAAAGCCCCAAACTTGGTGTAGGTTATTTTCAGGGTTCAGCAGCCCTGGGCAGGTCGTTTATGACAATGTGTGTCATTTCTGTTGTGCACTACCCTTTGTGTGGCTATCGCAGGAATTCAGGGTGGTCGCTGTCCATGTTGCAGCTGTGAATAGTCGGAAAGATGAGAAATGGGTGAATTTTTGACCATTTGTGCTCATCTGTTCTCTTCAATGTACCTGTGGGTAAATGGGCCCAGCAGCAAAGTGGGTGCAGGAATTGCTTAGATTTTTGGTTTGCTAGTAGACCGCTTGCACTCGTAGGCAATGCCCGAGGAATTTCGAGCCTGCTATAACTGGCTAGAGTTCCAAGTCCGGATGCACGGGCAAAAAGCCCCAAACTTGGATATAGGTTGTCTTCAAGGTTCAGCAGCCCTGGGCAGGTCGTTTATGACAATGTGTGTCATTTCTGTTGTGCACTACCCTTTGTGTGCCTATCGCAGGAATTCAGGGTGGCCACTGTCCATGTTGCAGCTGTGAATATTCGGAAAGGTGAGAAATGGTGAATTTTTGACCATTTGTGCGCATCTGTTCTCTTCAATGTACCTGTGGGTAAACGGGCCCAGCTGCAAAGTGGGTGCAGGAATTGCTTAGAATTTTGGTTTGCTAGTAGGCCGCCTGCACTCGTAGGCAGTGCCCGAGGAAATTTGACCGTGCTGTAACTGGCTTGAGTTCCAAGTCCGGATGCACGGGCAAAAAGCCCCAAACTTGGGGTAGGTTATTTTCAGGGTTCAGCAGCCCTGGACAGGTCGTTTATGACAATGTGTGTAATTTCTGTTGTGCACTACCCTTTGTGTGCCTATCGCAGGAATTCAGGATGGTCGCTGTCCATGTTGTAGCTGTGAATAGTCGGAAAGGTGAGAAATGGGTGAATTTTTGACCATTTGTGCGCATCTGTTCTCTTCAATGTACCTGTGGGTAAATGGGCCCAGCTGCAAAGTGGGTGCAGGAATTGCTTAGATTTTTGGTTTGCTAGTAGGCCGCTTGCACTCGTAGGCAATGCCCGAGGAATTTCGAGCCTGCTAAAACTGGCTAGAGTTCCAAGTCCGGATGCACGGGCAAAAAGCGCCAAACTTGGATATAGGTTGTCTTCAGGGTTCAGCAGCCCTGGGCAGGTCGTTTATGACAATGTGTGTCATTTCTGTTGTGCACTACCATTTGTGTGCCAAATGCAGGAATTCACGGTGGTCTCTGTCCGTGTTGCAGCTGTGAATAGTCGGAAAGGTGAGAAATGGTGAATTTTTGACCATTTGTGCGCATCTGTTCTCTTCAATGTACCTGTGGGTAAATGGGCCCAGCAGCAAAGTGGGTGCAGGAATTGATTAGATTTTTGGTTTGCTAGTAGGCCGCTTGCAATTGTAGGCAGTGCCCAAGGAGATTTGACCCTGCTGTAACTGGCTTGAGTTCCAAGTCCGGATGCAAGGGCAAAAAGCCCCAAACTTGGTGTAGGTTATTTTCAGGGTTCAGCAGCCCTGGGCAGGTCGTTTATGACAATGTGTGTCATTTCTGTTGTGCACTACCCTTTGTGTGGCTATCGCAGGAATTCAGGATAGTCGCTGTCCATGTTGCAGCTGTGAATAGTCGGAAAGATGAGAAATGGGTGAATTTTTGACCATTTGGCCCGATATCTGAGACTTTCGACCTTCGGGGCTACGCGACTTTTTTGAGAAAAAGCCAAAACAAATTTGATCGCAAAAAAATCGATTCTGTCACAGCAAACTGCGGAGGCGACAATGGCGGAAGGAAATCGAAGGCGATCCTTGTGTCAGGTTGTTATTGGATTCACAGAACAGGCCAACCGCGATCTCATCGACGATGATGCATCGTTCTTTGGCGATATCCCCTCCAGCGACGCCAGCGCTTCTGATAGCGCGGATGAAACGATCGCACTTGACACAACGCACTTACCTGTCGGCAGCGACGATGAAGAGGACCTTGATGAGTATGATCAGGGGCAACCGGAGCCGGCCACAGCGCTAGCTGCTGCCGCTGTAGGCAGGGACAAGCAACCAGCTATCAAGCTGTCATCCACTGAGGACATCGAAGCACGCCGGGTCGCTGGCTGCCCTTGCGCAGGGAGTCAAAACTGTTTCCTGAGTGTCCCACCAGAAATTCTAAAATCATCGCGAAATTCTACGGAGGTTCTTGGCGACGATGACCGTCGCGTATTCTTGAGTGGCAAGCTGGATGCTCTGGCTAATCGTGGCGATTCAGGACATCACGGAGCACATCATGCTGCGCGATCTCGAGTGACATACCGGTACGAAGTCGGTGGTGTGAAAACGTGTCAGGCGGTATTTTTGTATGCAAATTCCGCCAGTCGATACGACGTGCATCAAGTGCAGGCACATCTCGACGCAGGCGTTCTGACTCCTCCACAGCATGGAAATGTTGGTCGTTCTCCCTGGCATGCTGTGTCTGCGGAGGGTGTAACGCAGGTACGCGATTTCATTCGTAACTACGCTGTGGTGAATGGTCTCCCACAGCCTGCTGCACCCAGGGGGCACAACACTCCAGCACCAGTTTACTTGCCATGCATCACTACAAAGAAGCTGGTGCACCAGAAGTACGTAAATGCCGGAGGCACTGTCTCTTACCAGACATTTGTCAAACTATGGTTGAAAGAAACTCCAGATGTTTTGATTATGACTCCGAAGGAAGATGTGTGTGGAGAATGTTCAGACATGCAGTCGAAGATCACCCGAGCGAGAACGGAAATTTCCAGACAAAAAACAGTGGAAGAGTTGAAGGCGCACATGGAGAAGGCGAATGTTGCGCGAGATCATTACAGGGCATGCATTGCGAAGGCAAAGGATGCCATAGCTGAACAGCAAAGCAGTGAGTTGCAAGCGCCAGCATACGAGCACTTCACGTTCGACTTTGCCCAGCAGGCGCACATTCCACACCATGCCCGTGAAGTAGGTGCGTTGTATTTTAAAGTTCCGCGCCGGATCCAGATTTTTGGTGTTGCAGCGGAGGCTGTGCCAGCACAGCACAACTATTTGTTTGACGAAAATGAGACCATCGGAGTTGATGGCAGCAAATGCCATGGGCCAAACTCAGTGGTCTCACTCCTCCATTTCCATCTTCAGCAGCATGCCAAGGGCGCACACGACATCGGTCTACACGCCGACAATTGCTGCGGACAAAACAAAAACAAAACAGTCGTTGGGTACCTCTGCTGGCGAGTCATTGTGGGGCTCAACGAATCCATCGACCTGTGCTTCATGCGCGTTGGGCACACTCGATGCTTTGTCGATGGCGGCTTTGGGTTGCTGAAGCAGACTTACAGGAAGTCCGACGTCGATACACTTCAGCAGCTAGCTGATGCAACAGATAAATCAGCAGCCTTCAACAAGGCCGTTTTGTTTTCATGGGATTGGAGACAGTGGGATGCATACCTTTCCACTGTTTTCAAGCCCGTGAAAAACATCACGAAAATGTTGGTTTGCGTTGCGCAAACCGTAGTTAACCAGCACGCCACGGGCCGCGCCCCCGCAGGGGAATATTCCCGCAAGATGACTTTAGGTGACCATACGCACTCCGCCGTGCCGCCGCAGCCGACTTGCGCAAGCACGCACTCTTGCAGAGTTCCGCATTCGGGTCGCACTCGCGTACGACATCCCGTATGAGCCACCCTTCGCCTGGCGGATGCATCCGTAGACGGCTCATCTACTGCTGGCCGGTGTAATTTTGCCAGCTGTCTGTTTTGCTGCGAGTGCTCGCCACGCAATTTTGTTTTCCATTCCTCAACATTTAGAACTTTAGTATGGCTTTCTCAGCAGCCCAGAGGGACTCCATCGCCGAGATTGTGGCTGCCAGCGTTGCAGCAGCACTTGGCAACAGCCCGCCGGCTGGACACCACGCGGCTGACTCCGAGACTGGAGCAAACGGTACGTTCCCGGATGTAATGCACCACACCCCCGCTTGTATTGCGCATGTGGCCCCAGAAGCCGTTGACAAAATAAAACGGATCGAGTATGTCGATATTGCTTGTCTGCTGCCCCCAAAGCCGGGACCAGCCGCCGAACCAACCCCCAAGAGATTCCGGGTAGATGACGACGGGGCACTGGCAGTCTGCGCTGCTCCAAAACGGAAAATTGAAAACTTGGCCACGTGGATCGAGGCGTGGTCCATTTTCAGCCTGATTGCCATAGGCGAACATCACCTATGCGCCGAAGCCCTGATGATTCACCAACTCCGAATCATCCAGGCCGCCGGCAAGTACCGCTTCGCAGCAGTTGTAGAATTCGACACCAGGGCGCGGCAGGCGCTGTCGAAAGATTTGTCCCGGTCACTGGCAGACCTGGACACTGAGCTCTACACGACCTGCTTTACCGGGCAGGCACTCCCCTTTTGCAACAACTGCAAGAGGCTGGGGCACGTGACCGCCTCCTGCACAACGCAGCCCTTTCGGAGCAGGCCAAAGGAGCAAGGTGTCAGCTCCAGCGCAAAACCAAACGAGACCTGCCGCCGTTACAACTACGGCACCTGCGTCGGCTCGTGCAAGTTTCACCACGCATGCATGTTTTGCTTGGGAGAGCACCCAGCTTCCGCCTGCCCAGCCAAGAAATAGCGATGCCGCGAAGGCAGCCCCGGCAGTATCCTCTCTTAATAGTCTTATTTATAATATTGCACCGCACACACCCATCCACATTGATGTATTGCACGATGAATTGCGCACGCACCCCGACCCCTCTTTTGTTCTTGCTTTGATTAATGACTTGCGTTTTGGCTTTCGCATTGGTTTTACCGGGCCTCGTAATGTTTCTGTTCATAGTGCTAATCTGTCCTCTGCAACAGCTCACCCCGAAGTCGTTGACCAATATCTCGCAACTGAATGCCAGCGGGGCCATACGGCCGGTCCCTTCACAGCTCCGCCATTCGCCTGCCTCCGCACATCAGGAGTCGGCGTGGTCCCGAAAAAATCAGGCGGGCACCGGTTGATCATGCACCTCTCCGCCCCGCAGGGGAACAGCGTGAACACGTTCATTGACCCTGACCAATACCGCTTCAAACTGATTACGATCGACTGCATTGCCGATCATGTTCGCAGAACAGGCCCCTGCGCACTGATAACCAAGGTGGACCTGAAGCACGCGTTTCGGCTCTGTCCAGTACACCCCGACGACTGGCCACTGCTTGGCATGCAATGGAGATCGAAGTATTACTTCGACACAGTCTTGCCGTTCGGTCTGCGGTCCGCCCCTAGCTTGTTTAACCGCCTAGCAGACGCGCTTGAGTGGATCCTACGCCACAAGTACAGCATACCCGCACTCGAGCACTACCTCGACGACTTTGTTTCGGTATCACCACCAGCCACTGTGGTGCCATCGTCGACAGCCGCAGTCCACAAGGCCACGATCCTTCAGGTGTTCGACAACCTGGGTGTCCCCACTGCAGTTGGCACCGACAAGGTGGTGGGTCCATCCACGTGCGTCACCGTGTTGGGCATCGAGATTGACTCGGCCACCGGGGAACTCCGCCTTCCCACTGACAAGCTCCGCGCGCTGCAACATCTGCTGCAGTCATGGTCCACCCGCCACACCGCCTCACGGCGGGAACTCCAATCTCTAGTGGGCCACCTGTCTTTCGCAGCAAAGGTTGTTCCAGCTGGACGCACCTTTACTAGACGGCTCATTGATGCATGCACTTCCGCTCACAGCTCATCGCCCATCGTCCACCTGAGCAGCGATGCCCTAGCCGATATCCGGTGGTGGCAGGAATTCCTTCCCGTCTGGAACGGCAAAGCCCTTATGCGCGACCCAGAGTGGTCTAGGTCACCGGACCTTGAGTTGTTCACGGACGCATCCGGCCTAGGCTTCGGCGGCTTCTTTCAAGGTCGCTGGTTCGCCGGCGCATGGTCCGCAACGCAACAGACGCCGCCATACACCTCCATCATGTGGAGGGAGATGTGGCCAATCTCCCTCGCCTGCCAGCTGTGGGGACCGCTTTGGACGCAGAAGAAGATCCTGCTCCACTGCGACAACGCTTCCGTGTGCGCTGCCTGGGAGTCGGGCACCTGCCGGCACCCAGGAGTCGTGGCGCTCATACGCAGCACCCTCCAGACGGCCGCTCGCCACAACTTCTGTCTGCTTATCCGCCACATCGCCGGAGTGGACAACGGTATCGCAGATGCCCTATCCCGCGCTCAGTTCCCACGGTTCCGCCTCTTGGCGCCCGGGGCCGACCTCAGTCCGTCGTCACTCGCAAACATCCACGCCGCAGCGTGAGGAAGTCGCCATCCAGGGTCCGCCGTTACCGAGATTGGACGCTCTGCTCCTGAGACCACAGAACTGTGCTTCTGCCCCCGTGTTTTCTTTTGTTTCCTTTACTTTTTCCGCTGTGTATCCCTGCTCGCACAGCCTACTGCCACGCCCCACCCATTGCACCTCTCCACTAGTTGTTAAGCCCTCGCCGGGGTGTTACTGCCTATCATTTCTGCCTCAACCCTGTGTGCGTACGGATTGTCAAGTCCTTTAGAATCGCATCCCTGTGTGCTTATGGACCGAGTCAAGTCCTCTAGATTTGCCGCCCGGTGTGCTTAGGGACTGAATCAGGTCCCCTAGACGCCTGCACTTTCTTTGGGAGCAGTTCGGTCCCGCCGCTGCCTAGGGAGACCACCGCAATAGACACATCTAGATGGGGAATCAAATAGGCAAGCCGCAAGCAAAATCCGCACGCCTCATGGCAGTAGGCCTCCGCCGGTCAGAGAGCCCCGTTACACCTAGGATCATGACTGCGCTCATGGGGGTGGGTCGTATGAAGCAGGGTCACTCGCACTGACTGAAATTCTTTGTCCTTTGTTGTGTTGATTCCAGGCTCGCTGGCCGTTGCCGCATGCAACCGCTCACATGATGGCTCGCCAGCCCAGATCGCTCATCTATCCGCAGAAAAGCAACCTCCCGCAGGAGGGCCACCGCAGTCGCTTCCTCCGCAACGTACCGCTGGCCCCAGTCAGCACGCAGGGCTAGCCATCGTGTTTCTCGCTCGCTTCCTAGCCGCTGTCTAGGGCAGGTGGTGATGGATGTGCGCATGTTTGTGTATATGCTTGTGTTTATGTGCGCGCATGTGGGCATGTGCGCTGCTATACGCGGTCACTGGTGGATGCATGTGGCGCGCTATCTCTTCTCCTGTGTCCTCTCTGCCAGGCTCGCCAGCCGCCGCACTTTCCGCACGAGCCGAACAACTCATATCCAATTCAGTGGCCGCAGCCACGCAACGCACATATGCCCCGGGCTGGCACGCATTCCGCAAGTTCATGCAACAGATTCACCGCGACCCGCTGTCACCGCGTCACGATGACATCCTGCTATTTGCCGCTTCCATGGCGCATTCTGTCAGTGCCGGCACTTTGAAAGTATACCTGGCCGCAGTCAGATACAACCTCCTCTGCAGGGGAGGACCTGTCGAAGTCCTTGCATCCAGCCGGCTCACCGCTCTGGTGAAAGGCCTGGAGAGAGAACGCGCATCGCTCCCACGGCACGCAACTGCCCAGCCTCGGAGACAGGCTATCACCGCCGTACAACTCAAGGCACTACATCTTTTCCTGCAGCGTTCCGCTTATAGGCCTGGCGACACGCTCATGCTATGGGCCGCATTGACGACAGCATTCCATGGTCTGCTGCGAGTTAGCGAGTACACGTCCCCGTCGCCAGCAGGGTCGGGTACCCTGAAAACTCTCAGGCGCGCTCACCTCGTGCTCTCTCAGGCCACAGCCAGCTTACGGCTTCAACGCACGAAGACATCGCAGCTGACAAGCGGTGGCGAGGTTGTGCTGCATCGCCATGCAGACCCGCAAATATGCCCCGTCCTGGCCCTCGAGGCATACGTCAGATCGTGCGCATGGGGTAGTGACGAACAACCTCTCTTCAAGTTCGGCAATGGACGATGGCTCACGCCCAATGACATCAACGTAGTGTTGCGCAGGGTTCTGGGCCCCAGCTACAGTAGCCACTCCCTCCGTGCAGGAGGCGCAACGCACATGGCGAACCAAGGTGCCCCGGAGTATGCCTTGATGGCAGCCGGGCGGTGGTCCAGCGGAGCTTACCGCACGTACGTTCGCAGGCCTGCAGGCATGCCGCGGCGTTACTGAGCCACGGGTCGCAAGCACCGCACGCCCCCCTTTTCTTGGAGGCACGGGCTCGGCCGATGGGCACGAAATCCGCATGGTGCACATCCATCGGCTGCCGCAGACAATACAATTAATATACTTGTGGGTACTACCGAGTACTTAGTGGTCATGCAGTTGCCATAGCAATGTACTGGTACACCCAGCCTTTATGATTGTTACATGACCCCATGGGTCGTCTTTCAAACGCTCTTTCATAGCCGATAGATGGCGTTATTTGTTCCTATCATACTATGTTACAGATGGGCGGCCTTAGACGGCCCAGTCCGATCATTTCACGCGAACTATGTTATACGTCATCATGATCACAATAATCATGTCGTGCTCACGTTCAATATAAGCTTGCGACACCCCACTGGCTCATCTCTTCTGTGGTGTGAAGGTTAAATGTTGGTTTGCGTTGCGCAAACCGTAGTTAACCAGCACGCCACGGGCCGCGCCCCCGCAGGGGAATATTCCCGCAAGATGACTTTAGGTGACCATACGCACTCCGCCGTGCCGCCGCAGCCGACTTGCGCAAGCACGCACTCTTGCAGAGTTCCGCATTCGGGTCGCACTCGCGTACGACATCCCGTATGAGCCACCCTTCGCCTGGCGGATGCATCCGTAGACGGCTCATCTACTGCTGGCCGGTGTAATTTTGCCAGCTGTCTGTTTTGCTGCGAGTGCTCGCCACGCAATTTTGTTTCCCACCCGCCCACGCCTACCGGACGGAGGGGAGGCACGGGCTCGGCCGATGGGCACGAAATCCGCATGGTGCACATCCATCGGCTGCCGCAGACAATACAATTAATATACTTGTGGGTACTACCGAGTACTTAGTGGTCATGCAGTTGCCATAGCAATGTACTGGTACACCCAGCCTTTATGATTGTTACATGACCCCATGGGTCGTCTTTCAAACGCTCTTTCATAGCCGATAGATGGCGTTATTTGTTCCTATCATACTATGTTACAGATGGGCGGCCTTAGACGGCCCAGTCCGATCATTTCACGCGAACTATGTTATACGTCATCATGATCACAATAATCATGTCGTGCTCACGTTCAATATAAGCTTGCGACACCCCACTGGCTCATCTCTTCTGTGGTGTGAAGGTTAATACCAGAATTTCCACTTCTCAGCTGACAAGCCTGGGATGGTGGAGATGTCTGGATCATCGACGGAGGCTGACAAGACCTTGTCGATTATCAAGCCGGATGCTGACATCAGCACATTGAAGACGGAAGTCCTTCCACCTGCCCTGCAACCAGCCGGGATGTCACACGCTCGTGCCGACTACCTTTTCAAGCAGGTTCGTCAGCACTGTCACGAGGAGAACAGAGACATCACCTGCCCTGCTCCTACTGCCGTTGCAGCTACCCTACCAACAGAGTGAAAGCTGGAAAATAAGTGCTTAGACACTCTATTGTAGTCCTGAACTGTTTTCTGTTATTGTTACAACTTGGATACAAACAGTAGTACCAACCATGCTGAGTTTTCAAAATCAATTCTAAGATGTGCAAATCCAAAATTCGACTCCTACTCATAAAATGCATTGCTACATGGTGAATATTGCTCTGAAACCCGTGAAACGTTGTCAAAATACTCTACACAGGTCAGAAATCATTTTACACTGGAAAAGTCATTTTCACCAAAATAGCCCGGAAGGTCGATTTTCTCAGATATTGGGCCATTTGTGCTCATCTCTTCTCTTCAATTTACCTGTGGGTAAATGGGCGCAGCAGCAAAGTGGGTGCAGGAATTGCTTAGATTTTTGGTTTGCTAGTAGGCCGCTTGCACTCGTAGGCAATGCCCGAGGAATTTCGAGCCTGCTATAACTGGCTAGAGTTCCAAGTCCGGATGCACGGGCAAAAAGCCCCAAACTTGGATATAGGTTGTCTTCAGGGTTCAGCAGCCCTGGGCAGGTCGTTTATGACAATGTGTGTCATTTCTGTTGTGCACTACCCTTTGTGTGCCTATCGCAGGAATTCAGGGTGGCCACTGTCCATGTTGCAGCTGTGACTAGTCGGAAAGGTGAGAAATGGTGAATTTTTGACCATTTGTGCGCATCTGTTCTCTTCAATGTACCTGTGGGTAAACGGGCCCAGCTGCAAAGTGGGTGCAGGAATTGCTTAGAATTTTGGTTTGCTAGTAGGCCACCTGCACTCGTAGGCAGTGCCCGAGGAAATTTGACCGTGCTGTAACTGGCTTGAGTTCCAAGTCCGGATGCACGGGCAAAAGAGCCCCTAACTTGGGGTAGGTTATTTTCTGGGTTCAGCAGCCCTGGACAGGTCGTTTATGACAACTTAAAATTGTGTGTAATTTCTGTTGTGCACTACCCTTTGTGTGCCTATCGCAGGAATTCACGGTGGTCACTGTCCGTGTAGCAGCTGTGACTAGTCGGAAAGGTGAGAAATGGTGAATTTTTGACCATTTGTGTGCATCTGTTCTCTTCAATGTACCTGTGGGTAAATGGGCCCAGCAGCAATGTGGATGTAGAAATTGCTTAGATTTTCGGGTTGCTAATAGGCCGCTTGCACTCGTAGGCAGTGCCCAAGGAGATTTGACCCTGCTGTAACTGGCTTGAGTTCCAAGTCCGGATGCACGGGCAAAAAAACCCAAACTTGGGGTAGGTTCTTTTCAGGGTTCAGCAGCCCTGGGCAGGTCGTTTATGACAATGTGTGTCATTTCTGTTGTGCACTACCCTTTGTGTGCCTATCGCAGGAATTCAGGATGGTCGCTGTCCATGTTGCAGCTGTGACTAGTCGGAAAGGTGAGAAATGGTGAATTTTTGACCATTTGTGTGGATCTGTTCTCTTCAATGTACCTGTGGGTAAATTGGCCCAGGAGCAATGTGGATGCAGGTATTGTTTAGATCTTTGGTTTGCTAGTAGGCCGCTTGCACTTGTAGGCAGTGTCCCAGGAAATTTGACCCTGCTATAACTGGCTAGAGTTCCAAGTCCGGATGCACGGGCAAAAAGCCCCAAACTTGGAGATAGTTTGTTTTCAGGGTTCAGCAGCCCTGGGCAGGTCGTTTACGACAATGTGTGTCATTTCTGTTGTGCACTACCCTTTGTGTGCCTATCGCAGGAATTCAGGGTGGTCACTGTCCATGTTGCAGTTGTGAATAGTCGGAAAGGTGAGAAATGGTGAATTTTTGACCATCTGTGCGCATCTGTTCTCTTCAATGTACCTGTGGGTAAATGGGCCCAGCTGCAAAGTGGGTGCAGGAATTACTTAGATTTTTGGTTTGCTATTAGGCTGCTTGCACTCGTAGGCAGTGCCCCAGGAAATTTGACCCTGCTGTACCTGGCTTGAGTTCCAAGTCCGGATGGACATCGTGTGGTTTTTCGAAATAGTTTAGCTGCCCAACTCGTGCAAAACAGGATTTTCTAAGTTTGCTTCGCTAATTTTCATTCTCGGTCAATCATCCCGTTTGGCCGGAGCACCTGGAATCCCAATCCCATGGCCCTGGGTCTTATCAAGGAGGGCTGTACACGTTGTAACGTTAAGTTGCATTTTGCAACGGCTCCTTGTCTTGACAAACCTCTGCTGTACGAATCTGTTGTCTTGCAGCTTGTGTGCGTACATTGTCACAGAGACTGCAAGGACCGAGCAGTTCGATCACCAGTGCAACTTGTGACAGGATGAAATGCTGGTGATGCAGAATGCGGAGTACAGCGCTACCAGTGATTGGTCAGTGCTGGTCTGTATAGTGTACAGCTGCTGCTACTGCCGCCGCCGTCACCATTCTACCCATGATCATCAGTGGGCACTGGTGCTGATGTCTTTTGCATATGTGCGTACCACTAGTATGTAGCCAGCCGCTAAGTAATAATCTACTGCTTTGCCAATGCACGGAATACATACCGTCTTTGCCGGAGTATGACGCGCTCCCCCTTTTTTGAACAAGGTTTTGGCAACTCATGGCTTATCCTGAATAATATGCAGCCTGGATTTGAGAGCATTATCGATCATAAAGACAGTACTATACTGCGACCATTGTCAGAATGTATCATGAAAAATGAGCATGCATATATGGCTTGCACAGGGTCAGAGGTCAGAGGCAGCACACTTCACAGCAGTTTTACTAATTGTACTACTTTTCGAAGTACAGTACATGCATTTTCATATTCACATTGTGTGCACCTGCGATTTGGGGCCAGACCGAATAGTGCTTCTAAAGTGTGCACTGTACTCCGTCAAATACGGTAGTGTGACTTATTGTGCAGCTAGTACATGTGTGGTAGAATTTGAGTGTGTTGGTACAGCGGCTATAGTACAGCATATTGGTGTTGGTACAGCAGCTGTAGTACAGCATATTGGTGATGATGAGTGTGTTGGTACAGCGGCTATAGTACAGCATATTGGTGTTGGTACAGCAGCTGTAGTACAGCATATTGGTGTTGATTATGATCTCAGTTCATCAGTTTTCTACACTTTATCTCTTCCCCAGTACATGGGCTGAATACTAACCTGCAGTCATTATAATCTGTGCACTGTACTGCATCCGTGCCGCTCTGCTTTATTTTATTAGCATGATCATATTCAGACGAGATGCTATACTACTCCGTCTGCAGAATCTGAACGGTATGACCTTGTACATATTACAGGTCTGAGTTCTACTTTAGGCCAGTGACGGGTTTATTTGCTGAGTCTCAAAGATGCTACTACTGGTACATACTATGTACTTCAAGTACTGCATTGCATACTTGTACTCGTAGTCTGGGCTCGCACTCTGCTGTGTATTTGCATGTATACTGATTTTGAGTACAGGCGAGTACAACCACAAGCATGTGCTTGTACACTGAACAGGTCCTGAGTTCTATCTGCAGAACTATGTGTGTGTGTGCAAACGGTTTATTTTTTCCTCTTCAATTGAAACCGTTTATGCTTGTGCATGTACATTCCTTGCAGGGCTTCATTATCACACGACTGTAAAGTGTATACTGCAGATGCCATGGTCATCAGTTCTATTGCATATCACCAGCCATGGACATGTACATGTACATGTGTTGTAGAGCTGTGCACTGTGTTCACAATATTCATGGCCGAGTCTGTCTCAGCTGTCCAATATCAAGACGAAAAGTGGGAAAATCTTCCGATTTCAGATGTAAAAAACGATAAAAACACAGTTTTTCGAAGAAAATACACGGTTACCATGGCAACCAGGCAAAAAAGCCATGGTTGCCATGGTAACCGTGCTCTATTTCAGCCCATTTTCCAGGCTTGCAGCGGTTGCCATGGCAACCAGGATTTCGTTGCGAATTAGGTTTTGTTTCCATGGTAACCCATAATTTTCTCTGATAAACCTGGTTGTTTTTGCCTAAAACGGTCCGATTCTGGAAACCCTGGCATTTTTTACCTGCGTAAATTGTTGTTGCATAAATTTATGCAGAATGACCCAACCACAGCGCACAGAATTGATTTTAGTTTTTTTGTAATGGCAAGAGTGTGGAAGGAAGACAGGAGCAGACAAGCAAGATAAAAGTAATGAAGAGCAAGAAATATAAAGGATAAAAAAGAGATAAACCTGTACATCTAAGGGGGGGGGGACAGTGAGTTGTGGAAATCCGCCATGTTAAAAAAGATACAAAAATGGAAGGACTCAAAGTTGAAACAAACAAAAAAAAAACAGAAAAGAAAAGCAAACTGATTATCTCTAATAAACTACATGTAGAAAACGAGAACTTGAAATGAACATGGAAGACTGAAAAGTTGAAAACAAGTCTACATGTAAATAGTTACCAGGATGCAAGAATTGTAAAGGAGCTAGATCACAAAATCAGTGTTGATCTTGATACAGTAGAACTTACTTGAGCTGCTTTACTATGCAGTACATTGTGAATACATGCGCAAAACCATTCTGTTTGCTAGGACGGCAACAGAACCAGGAAATTCTAGACTATCGCAAAGTATATAAAAATCTTATGCTCTGAAAACTTACTGCTCCGTGTAGCATCACACGTATACAGCTACAGGATCATAAAGCCACGGCGGCATGATATCACAAAACAACGGTGTGTTATCAGAGAGTCGAAATGGTTCATTTACGCTGCAAGTACTACTTCCACTATACGTATAATTCCTTTGCACCTGTAATATTATTATTATACATATAGACAGGCAACGCAGTACTCAATGTTGACCGACAAGCACTATGAGTAATTCCTATCTGTGTGTCTTTATTCAGAGTCAAATTTCTGTTGAACTATGCTGGAGAGAAGTGTACTGTAGTACCCCGATCCCGAGACCCTTGGTCGGGGAGTCCACCGCACCTCACCAGCGCAGCTCATGTAGCGCCTACACACCCACTGTTGTTTTTGTTTTGTCTTTGTGTGTTTCCCCTTATTCCGTAGGTATGTGCAAGGTGATAAAAAAGACAGGCCAAAAGGCCAACATTTTCTCTGGAGTTCACTGCTAGCTACAATGAAACAAATGAATAGAGCGTGTACTCTACTGTTGACGGTGGTCTCAATAGTCAACATCCCAATTCAATGCCATGACAAACTGGTCAAGTACAGTGAAGTAATGCTGGTCTGTTCACCTTGGTGTGAGCGGGATGCTTGCACTTGATTCTCTAAGCTGACTACATGTAACTTGATATGCATATCAATATTCTTTAAGGCCACGCCGTTTTTTAATCTATGTTTCGCGTCACCTTATTCGATGAAATCAATGAGGGAGGGCGAAAAAAATAAAAAAGCCATCCAAAAAAAAACAGTGTACGTGCATTGCATTTGTGTACAGTGAAGCGACGGTGCACTGTTCATGTACATTGACATGTACATGAATACATGAGTGTATCCCCTCTGCCATGCTTGTGGTCCAAACACAGGCGGCATGATGATTGTGTGACTTCCGGCCCAGCATATTGCACACACATGTACATGTACATGTGTGTGAGCTGAGTTAAATGTTCCGGTTTTCTGGGTTTGCATTAAAATTTGTATTGCATTTTCAACAAAAAAAATCCGTATTTTTTAAACTCCGGCTGTGAAATACATGCGCACGGGGGACGCGAAACATAGATAAAAAAAACGGTGTGGCCTAAAGCTGGCCCCGCTTATCCCGTGAGGCATGGATGTACACTCCGGCAGACAAGGAAAAGTGTCTTTATTTCCAATATGTCACTATTCAACCCAGGCCTTGGACTAGAAACAAGGAGCTGTGGGCAAACATTTCCATCATTATTGATGATCTGTCTTTATTGCATATATCGTTATATCTACATTTCACTGGATTCTGTATATGGATGCATTGTCATGTATATGGCTATTGACATACTATAGCAGAGGCACACTCGGCTTGTTTTCTGGCCAGGTCTGATGGCAATAGCAGTCACATACATGGTACTACATTCTTGGTTAACTTTCATGTCCTGGTTGACTAGTGTGTCTTGCATGCCGGTACAATGTGTTATAACAACATGATGTATTTCTCCTCATCCGGCCTGGCTGACAAAGTGAATTCTTTCTGGTGTTTCAGAGTTGGTTTGTACCGACTTGAGTAAAACAGGGGTATGCGTGCACTGAAGAATGTGGGATCAACCACTGCACTCACGTACATTCTCATAATGTTTTAGTAATATTGATAGCAGGCATAGGTAATGCTTGTGAGATGATTTACCATCATCAACCATTGATTGTGTGTATACTTCACAGTGTGTGTTCATGATCTGATAAGCAAAGGAAATGCAGGCATGAAGACTTTCTAAGACTTGCCAACCTGATCGCCATAGTTCAATGCGCATGTTCCCAGGCTGTAGTGTGGTCTCTCTGCTCTAGTGTGGTCTCTCCGCTCTTGTGTGGTCGCTCTGCCCTAGTGTGGTCTCTCTGCCCTAGCTTGGTGTCTCTGCCCTAGCTTGGTGTCTCTGCCCTAGTGTGGTCTCTCTGCCCTAGTGTGGTCTCTCTGCCCTAGTGTGGTCTCTCTGCACTGGTGGGCCTATTCGTTTACTGTACATGGAGAATTTACTTAGTAATGTCCCTGCAGCAGTA